ATTTCGGTAATTGTGTCTATGCCGAAATCGTCTATGACTGCCAGACATTACTTACCGGAACGAAAACCGCTCTGAGCCATCAGATGTCCTATTTAATATAATATTCATTAATACTTTCACCATAATGGATCCAATTAAGATACCTCTATATATGTGAGGGTCTTAAGGGCTACCTTTTTGTTTCCATAGTGCATTGATTCACGATAAACACTTTTTTGGATGCGCATCTGACTCCATACTTCCTTCATGAGATGAGTCATTTGTTATTGAATTCGGGGCAAAGATAAGCAGATTTTAAAAGTTCAATACAATATCAAGAAATGCATTATTATTCCATAGTTTTTAATAACTTGTTCATCAGTAGGTTCATTATTGTTTATGTTTGGAGATGGACGTTGTAATGGTTGGGTGTATATTGGGATATGTTCTATTTATGCGAACATTTTTAGGTTAATGTGGTCAGGGTTGAAATGTGACTCAGATGATTTTTTGAGACCAGGAAATTTCTTCTGAGGTGGTTTTGATTACATGATATTACTGTAGTTTTTCGCTTTTTTTTATCACATTTCGATTCATTGTCTATATTGCTTTGCTTCATTAATTTCGTTTCCAATTTTTCGTGGTATGCGTTTCTCAATGCGTTAACTATTTTTTTTTAAATTTTTAATTCTAAAATTTTTTATACAGTGTCTACGGGGAATTTTTGGTCGAGGCTACGGGTTCGGATACCCCACATTAACTTCGGCCTTTTGCCACATCTGACCCCGTGGGGCGGTTCGTAGATATCCTACAGTTGGAGATTCGCCTCCAGCTGTGTTGGTCAAACTCTCTGACTTCAAGCAGAAAGGATCCCTGGATGAGTCTATGTCAAATGGCAGAGTCTCGTCTCGGAAAACAGCTACCCGATCCCGTTTTATACAGGGTCTACGGGGAATTTGTTATTGAATTCGGGGAAAAGGTAATCAGATTTTAAAAGTTTACCCCAATGTCAAGAAGTGCATTATTATTTCATAGTTTTTAATAACTTGTTCATCAGTAGGTTCATTATTGTTTATGTTTGGAGATGGACGTTGTAATGGTTGGGTGTATATTGGGATATGTTCTATTCATGTGAACATCTTTAGTTTAATGTGGTCAGGGTTGAAATGCGACTTAAGGCGATTTTTGAGACCAGGACATTTCTTCTGAGGTGGTTTTGATTGCATGATATTACTGTGGTTTTTCGCTTTTCTCCACATTTCACCTCATTGTCTATGACTGCCACACATTACTTCCCGGAACGAAATCTACTCTGAGTTATCAGATGCCCTATTTAATATAATGTTCATTTATACTTTCATCATGATGGAACCAATTGAGATACCTCTGTATATGTGAGAGTCTTGAGGTCTACCTTTCTATTTCCATTAATGCGGGATAAACTCCTGCTTTTGGTGATGCATTTCTTATTCCAACTCTTCTTTCATAAAATAGCGAAATGGGGAGTATTGTAATTTTGTTGATGGCATAAAGATTACCATTTCATTTCCAACCTCCGTTTTGGTTATTCCTCATTCAGTAACCTTTTTTTAGGTTACAACAAATACCTAGCTAGCTAGGTAGATAGATTACTATTTACTTTCTTTATATTCGGACTATTTTCCTCATCTTTGTTGTTGTTATCACGACGTTTCGGACGTTGTGCTCCCCACCAAGGGCTTCAACAGGTGTATATCGATTCATGACACCTGCAAGGAATTGTCCTACGAGACAATATGCTAGTGGATTAAAACGCTGATCCGTGAATTTTGTGACATAGTAATTTTGAGTTCAATCCCGGGGCCAGGCAATATATACTTGGGTTCAATGGAAACAGAGCATTACTTAAAATAAGAGACAAAATATCACTAGACATGTGAAAAGAGCCTATCCTCATAGATTAAATAAGGGATACAGTTTCGGATCGATAAACACCTAATGAAAGCCGGTAGGCATAGCGACTGAAACGTTGTGATAACAACAAAGATGAGGATAATAGTCTGAATGTAAATAATGATAACTCATCCTCCCAGAAATTTAAACAGATTTAAATAAATATAATTAATTATGCGTACGTTATATATATATATATATATATATATATATATATATATATATATATATATATATATATGCACGTGTTTATCGTTGCTTGAAATCATCCATGTAAACAATCACAGACTATCATCACTGTCTTGTCCGTATATTGCTTAATATATTGTACAGTAATTGACATCTTTGATAATGGCTTATGTAAGCCGAAAGCTTAGATTGGATTAAAAAATATGGATCAATATTGTGATTTTCTTTCTTCGTTTAAAGATAATGTTTTTAAGCTTATCAGACGTTATGAAAAGAATTTACATAAATTAAATAGACAACCCTTGTCTATATTATTCAATGAAACATGTATGAATATATATATATATATATATATATATATATATATATATATATATAATTTTAAGGTGTGCCATATTTATGGGATAAAGTGCTCAATATCAGGGATAAAGAGTATGTAAATATAAACTTGAACATTGAAGTCAATACTCAGAAGCGACAGCAATCGTCAGGCCACATGCGTTGTATTTTTCTCGACTATTTATATATCCGAGTCACTGATGCAGTGTGGGTAGTCTATTGCATTGTGGGTAGTCTATTCTAACGGCGATTTTGTGGGGTGTGTTTTGATAATTCGTTTATTATTTACTTTATTTATTTGGATTAATTTATTTTATTTGTTTTTGCTTATTTCTTTATATATTTTATTTATTCTTTCCAGCTTTCGATTTTTAAGTAATGTAGTAAAAATTTGCGATCGGGTCTGCATTTGGAGATGAGTTTAGATCGTTTATTTAGTAGTTTGTTTCGGTCTGGGAACGTAATTATAGTTATTATTTTTTTCCTCCAAACAGATTTTGGAGCTTTTGGATTGATATTTTAGGTTAATGTTCTTTTCCTTATTTCCGTGATGCCTTTAGTGTGATTTGATTATTTTTACCATTTTTTAAAGATTTTCTTGTCTGTGCAGTTTCTTTGTTTTCAGGTTCCTTTAGTTACTCCTATTTATATTTTTTCTTCGTTATCTAATGATTTTACCGTGGCTTGTTATTTTTCATTGTTTTGTAAGTAACTGCCGTTTAAAGAACATTCGTTCTTTATTCTGCAGTTACACGTGTGTTTAATTTGTTCAGGCGGTTTGTTGATAGTTTTCCTGTTGTGCTTTTTTTTATTATTTGTGTCATGTTGTCAGTGAAACTGTAACTGATATTTATTGTGTTATTGTTAGATATTTTGTGAAAAGCGCTAGTCTTGCGGAAGTGTTTGCGTAAGAGTTTGATGAATATTTTCCCTACGTTTGTTTTTACGTTTTTGTTGTATGGTAGGTTGAACTATATGATATTTCTCTTCCTGTTGTCTTTTTTTTTCCTCTGTGGTGTGTATACAAGTGTTGCCGGGAATCCACTATCTTTTAGAGCTGTTTCATAGTCTGAAAATGCATATATAAATAATCGAAGAAAACGTATGTGGCCTGGTGACTGCGTTTAGCATGAAACAATCTGTCGCCTGTAACTGTTGACATTCAACGTTCACTTTTATATTTACATACGCTCTAAGATATTGAGCACTTTGTCTCATACATATTGCATGCCTTAAAACTATATTTCTCCATATATATATATATATATATATATATAGTTGTATTGATATGAGCTACTCATATCAATACAACTAAATATGTTAGCACTGATATTGAGCTCTTTTCAATTCTCAATATATCAATTCTCAATATATATATATATATATATATATATATATATATATATATAAATCGATTCTCCCGTCGGGTTCGACGTATGAGGGTCAAGCAGATCAGTTTCCAGGAAACTGACAGCCCGACACCGGCACATGAGATTCGATTCATAGTGGTGAAGGTTTCGTACAGGACCATCCACACTTTTTGAAGGGACGAATACAGAGACCTGGTGCACTACGTGCCACAAGGTCCCCAAACAACCCCCCTCAGGTTTTGAATTCAGAGTTGTCTTTCTCCTAGACCAGCTGCCATCCAATGCTATAGAACCCAGTCTGTCCTGCTATTTAACCCATAGCTGGAGGGAGAAGAAGATGATTCACACCTTTCCCAAGGGTATTAGCACGTAAGTGAAATGTAATGGATTCAACCTGGATTCGAACTCGGCTCTGCGATTCCACAATCCAAGCCGATACCCATTAGCCCCACTGTGCCTCCCTATATATATATATATATATATATATATATATATATATATATATATATATATATATATATATATATATATATATATATATATATATATATATATATATATATATATATATATATATATATATATATATATATGTTATTACTGTAATATATATATATCTGTGTTATTACTGTAATGCTGTCTATTTATGATTTAATGGAACATCATCTAATAAATGATAAAATTCAATAAGTACTCAACTGTTTAGTTGCTTTTAGAACCAGATAATACAGGTTTGAAAAGTTAATAAAATATTCTTTTCCTTCGACTATATACATTTTCTTTCAAATTAATTTGAAAGTTTGTTTATTCCGAGCAGAAACGAGGCGAGTGTTTTTTGTTGTTTTTTTTTTCCTGTATGTTTACGGCGGAATTATTAGGCAGACATTTTGAAATTGGCGAAATAATATGTTTTGCTTTTCGCTTGTTCATTTTAATCTTTTCATTTATTGTTTTTGTTTACAGTGGCCAACATTTATTTTTCTTGTTTTCTTTTCGTCTCCCATTGCTTCAAGAATTCCAGACAGGTAACTTACTTGCCTCAAAATGATCGAATTTTTACTGCGGTCAACAATATTTAAATTCCATACGATAAGATTTTTTTCTAAAATTGCTTATGTCTCTTTATTAGGTGTCCTACTCAGAACTCACTTTACATTGGGTTTCTATTTTTGAAATTCACTAATACGTTCGTTAGATAGATAGATAGATAGATAGATAGATAGATAGATAGGTAAGAATAGACTGAGATAGATAGATAGATAGATAGATAGATAGATAGATAGATAGATAGATAGATAATGAAAGATTTAAATACATAGATAATGAAAGATTTAAATACATAGATAATGAAAAAGTTAAATAATGCCATATTGAGATAGATAGATAGATAGATAGATAGATAATGAAAGATTTAAATACATAGATAATGAAAAAGTTAAATAATGCCATATTGAGATAGATAGATAGATAGATAGATAAGAATAGACTGAGATAGATAGATAGATAGATAGATAGATAGATAGATAATGAAAATTTAAATACATAGATAATAAAAAAGATAAATAATGCCATATTGAGATAGATAGATAGATAGATAGATAGATAGATAGATAGATAGATAGATAGATAGATAGATAAAGAAATAATGCAATAGATATTTAAAAAATAATATAAATGATAATATAAATAATAATGATATTTAAAAATAATGTAGCCATCAATCGTCATGCCTATAAACCTGATAAAGTTTGCAATATTCTACATAAGTCTTACAAAGCAAAGTATTTGTCATCAGCTGAAAATTTAGCGCATGCAAATCTTCACTGAGCCATGTACTGAGTCAAGTCAGGTGAGTTGTAGCTTTTCTTGAGTAAACAACAAAATATGGAAATTAAATCTAAATACGGTCTCAAATACCGGAATTTTATAATAACAATACCAACGAACCACTTGATAAACAGGTCGATTTCTTGGTCTTAATCACTCTCGCTTTGTTTCGTTAAGACAAATCTTGTTGGTTATCTGATTGTAAATTTATTTACACTCGTCAGAGATGAGATAAAATTTGATTAAGGATATGGCTCTCAGCACCTTCGGGAATAAAGGTAGCTACTACAGCGATTTAGTAAGCGCCGATTACACGTGGTACAAGGCTGAATGCATGGAGCACTCAGAGAGGATCCAGACCACTACTCAATCTGAATATCTCGCGGGATAAGCTTGCTAACCATAGCACCAGGTCTAAGTGCTCTTCAAAACAGTGATTTAGTAAGCGTAGCTTACATGTGGTACAAGGCCGAAAGTATAGAGCACCCAGTGACGATTTAAATCACTACTTAGTCATAATTGGTCTAGCGAGAAAAGGTTCATAGCTATTACACCAAGTCGAAGTGCTCTTCAAAATATTAATTTAGTAGGCGTAGCTTATACGTGGCACAAGGCTGAATGTATTGAGCGTTCTGTAAGAATTGAAATCACTGTCCAGCTGTAATTGGTATAGCAAGACAAGCTTGTTAAACATTACATCACGTCGAAGTGCTAGGTAGCTACTATATGACACAATGATCTCTGGAGTTACGAGTTGCGAGTTCTAGCCACGTTGCGAATGATGTCTTGGTTAGTATTTCCGCAATTCAATTTACAGACCAAAGAGGAGACTGGCCAGAGATAAAGAACTTTAAAATGATGAAATTTACAAAATTCTTTTTTTTTTCTTTTTATATACTGTTGTGGATTCCGTGAATGGAATCCTGTACAATTAAATAAGAAACGCCAGTAACTGAGATAGAAAAATAAGTGTATTATACGTAAGAATACAGACTTGAAGTGAAGATTAGTAGTCCAGGAATGCGGGTTAGTAGAAAGTATATGTACAAGTCTCGGTAAGTAAAGCTGCTCTCTCTCTCTCTCTCTCTCTCTCTCTCTCTCTCTCTGAGAACACCCTGTGTCTGTCTCCGTATCTCTCAACGTATCTCGTCAGCAGGTATTCCCTCTGTACGTATAAGTATACTTTGGACGAGTCCATCTTATGTAAAAAGGGGAGAGCCCCACATATACCGTATCCTTCCAGGACCCAGTCGATCATAACTCTCCACCTCCCTCTATCCCTTGCAGCACTCAACAAGTTCCTTCCCTCTCGCACCTTCCTCGGGCCACGTTCTGTCATCCACTTGCTTAAGGCCGCAAGGTATGTCATGCGTTGTTTTCTTTTGTCTCTCTTTCCCTCTATTCGACCCGTGAGTATTAGGCCCTCCTTCCTCATTATGTGTACCAGGAATTTCAGCTATCTCTTCCCGATGTTACGTGTAAGCCATCTTCTTGTTTGCATCCTCATCGTTGCTCACACGCTCGGTCCAAGATATCCTTAGCATCCTTCTGCAGAACCACATCTCCGTCGCCTCGAGTCTCTTCTTTATCTTTGAGGAGATCGTCCAACATTCGCTGCCGTAAAGAAGGACAGACGTCACGTAACAGCTCAGTATTCTTTTCTTTGCTACCAAAGAACTCCTCCTGTCTCGCAATACTCTGCCCAGCTTTTGGAATGCGTCCTTGGCCATCCCAATACGTCTACAGTTCTCAGTTACCAATTTACAGTTTCCTCAGATCCTTGTGGCGTACTTTATCGAAGGCCTTTGCATTGTCTATGAAACATAGATACATAGATCAGTCAGTTATGTGCCATGCGTGATACATGCTTAGGCGATCAATTATCTTTCGATACATGACTGACGAGGCAGATTTTTCCCGCAGTAGGTTGCCATTTCTTTCTGCATTAGACCAGTTGCCATCCAAGTCTATAGAACCCTGTCTGTCCTGCTATTTACCCATAGCTGAGTGTAGAAGAAGACGATTCATACCTTTTTCCAAGGGTATTAACACGTAAATTAATGGATTCGACTGAAATTTGAACCCGGCTCTCCGATTCCTCGTATCTCTTGCTCCTACTTACTTTATTTTCATACATTTCTTCACCTTCAGTTCTTTTCCAACATCCGAATACAACTTGTTTTCAGGCTTTTAATCGGATATTTTCTCCCACGTTTTACCTCTCCTTTTTCCTCCACCTGTCACTTTTTTTTTCGGTTAATCCTATAACCACTGAATTGTTGGGTTAACCTGCTGGTCCTTTACCGTTTGTTTTATCTCAGTAGACAAAGGTAGCTACTTGACGGATGCCGTTTCCTCTCCAAGCATCCTATCACTAATACATTCGTGTACATCTCCTTTTTAGAAAAAGGGAACAGGTTACAGTGGGTTTATGAAAATCTAATATCAGGTATCGTTGACCTGTTATTCTCTTTCAAATATGTCAGCATTCATGTCCATAGAAAACCACGTCGAGATGGGGAATTACCGTATTTGACGGTGTATAGAGACGTACCCCAATTTCAGCAAGGCAAATCAAGAAAAAATTGGTAATTAGTAAAATTAGTAAAATTATTAGTAAATGGTATTGCCTGGGCTATATTTATGAGGTATTATTTTGGTTAAACAACCCATAATTACAATTAAACGAAAAATAATAGGAAAAAGAGAACTCGAGCCTATAAAAGAATTTATTATATCCAAAGGAAAATAAAACGAAATAACAATCAAGCAATTATTACAATTGAGCAAACACTAGTTACCATTAAAATTTTATTCATCTTTAATTCCATAAAATTCGTCGTCTTCGTTATCAAAACTTTGATACACATTTTCAGTACTACTATCATCGTCGTTAAATAATGCGTCATCTTCCGTTTCACTGACAGCATTACTAATGCCACACGTTTAAAAAGATTTCACAATTTCTGGTCTAATTCGCAGACTTGTACAATGCTAAATCTTTTTATTCTTTCTGTAAATGTAAGGTCATGATCAGGCATTGCCATCCACGTGTTTCATTGGTCCTTCATGTTTAAGTCTAAGCTAATAGGAGTTGCCAGGTAGCTAATTTCAGCCGACTATCGCGAATTTTAAACCTACATATGGAATTTAAGAAACAGAGGAACTTTAAATGATATTTTTAGTAAAAAAAACGTGCGCCTTATATGCCGTCAAATACAGCAAATCCTTTCTTGAATGGCATTAATTCGTCATGAACGCAAATATCATCCGAAATTCGAATGCGGTTTGCCAATTTTATATTCAACGTACCGACTGTTGTTGTTAATTTATTTTTATTCCTTTATTTATATATATATATATATATTTTGATTTATGCGTCTGTAATAGGAATATTTCAACTAAATCTAGACATTGTCTACTCTTTGTATCATCTGGTCAAAATGATGCTAATTAAAATTGAAGGGATGGCAGATAAAGGAACCTTATATATCTGGCAGACCGATCCCCAGAAAAAGAGAGAGAGAGAGGTAGATATTTCCCCAGACAGTAACAGATATTCTTCTGTTGTAGTGGGGGCAAGTTTGAAATCCCCAAATTTGCAAAACAACGTTATAGAAGTCACACAGAACGACGCACATACAAGATGACTAAACGAAAGTTCTACTCCCTATATGCGAACCTTTTTGTCATAGTAGTAAAATGATAAATTCCTTATTTAAAATTCCTTATTATAGTAGTGTTTCTAGTTTTATGAAAGCTGTTATATTTTTCTACACTTCTTTTTAAAATCGTCATTCGAATATGCTTATTAGACAAGATTAAATCCGTGTTCACAATATTTTCGTTCACTGCCCTCTTCTCACACGGGTTTCTACTCCTAGATGTTATAATTCTGAAAAAGTTATCAGTGAATATGATAAGTCTCTCGCAGAGGGTATATCCTGGCCACTCTTCGACCAAGAGAATCTAAGTACCCCCGAACTCGATACACACCAACGGCTCTACTCTGTAACAAGTATCTACACAAACAACGCAATAATGTTTCTCCATTTGACAAGCATAACATACCAATCTCGAGGAGGCACGGTGGAGTAATGGATTCAGGAATCGGAGATCCGAGTTCTAATTCCAGTTGAATCTATTATATTCACTTACGTGCTGATACACTTGGGAACTCCTCTTCTTCTTCCAGCTATGGGTAAATAGCAGAACAAACCGAGTTCTATAGCTTGGATGGTAACTGGTCTACCGCAGAAAGAAATCGCAACTTACTGCTGGAAAAAAAAAAAATCTGCCTCGTCAGTCATGTATCGAAATTTACATGATCGCCTAAGCATGTATCACGCATGGCACAAAACTGACTGAACATACCAATCATATTTAAGTTAGCTTAAATCGTTTGTGAATTGTTATATGCTTTTCATTCAAACCATCATACTCTTTGTTATATGCACAAAGTTTCAACCGTTATACCTTCTTCAGGTGTATTTAACTGGACTCGCCTTTAAGGCAAGGGTGTAAGACAAGATCGTTTTTACGTGAAGAGCGCCATATGCATATGGACCATGGACAAGACAAAGCCCGATCCTGCGACCACTTTACCGCTAGCGTCGATATTACACAGACACCGCCTCTCTTAGTGAAATGAGGGGCTCTCGTGGGGTTGAAATCCCAAGCAACGGGCGCCTTAAACCAGTCTAAAAGGAGAACAACAGTTTACTTCACATCCGACCAAAAGCGAACCCCCGTGCCACAGGTAAGTAACTCCCCCATGTGTCTCTCAACGCAATTTGATTTTTTTTTTTTGTTTTTGGGTTGTTTTTTTTAATTTTTTTAATATGTTCAGAGGAGTTAATGTTTCGTTCCGCTTTCTATATTAAAGGAATATTTCATATCAA